ATTTTAAATAGTATAAATATTGACTTTAATGAATTGTGTTACGTATTTCCATATATAGGGTACGGTCCCTCCTGGAGATGCTTACATTCCCACGTAAAGTATACGCTATTCTTCTTGAGCAAGACTCGGCTCTAGGATTATATAATTCTAACGACTCGTTGGGTGGTGTCACTTTCGTATTTCCACACCTATTAGTTAATACACCGAACTTTTTTATTCCACGTTTTTCACAATCTGTTGTGGGGGGAATCAAGCAAGTAATGGACGCGTTAAATAGTGAACGAAATAAACCGGTACTATCGAAATCCACAAAACAGAATCTACGAAGGAAGGAGCAACGACACATAAAAAAGGCAAGACATGAGGGACCCACCATACCCGATGCCGACGACAACCAGCACACCGCACCCGATTCTAATAATGGTCAAGATAACGAAAGATTGGATTTATTCTACGACCCAAAAAAAGTAAGTTGGGTTATATCTAGTGGTTGATAATTTTATGGTTCAACATATATGAAGTGAAGATTAGGGGCAGTTATCACCTTTCGAGGCAGGCCTAGGATCCGACTGTTCCCTCCCTAAGTGCGAAAAAACTTCACTTTATATATTTTACCTTTAGTCCAAGTTAAGAATGGGTTACCAAACTATTATCGTCCTTTAGTAAAGAGAGAAAGATTCGATACGCTTTCTAAAACCTCTGAGCTATTTATAGAATGAGAAATGGTTTGCGTGTATCCTTCTTATTCTTCCTATCCTTTTTGAAATCTACATAATTCATATAATACTAAGATATTCACGTATCAATTATATATTTTTTTTCTTAGCACAAAACGCAAGCTGAGACTCGCGTACTTAAAAAAGAAGAAATCCGCGAATATATCCGGTCATATTGGGTTTCCGAGGACTTCAATCCTGAAGATCTTAAATCTACCTATACATCGCAACCGTCCATGTTGTTTAGTCCAAGGTCTACATTTGTCGAAAAACTTTCGGAAGATAAATATCGAAGGCATATTACCGAAACAAATTCGATAGATTTAATCACCAATGACAAAGAATTTTCGATACCTGCTAAATATTTAGAGTTATTGGAGGTTGATATTTTTCATGTTAGAGATCCTTTAGATCCACCCTCTTCGGAATTATGGGAAAGGTTCGGACAGTGGGCAGGTTTTGAAAAGATTAAAAAATTTCGACATCATTGCCGGCGCTTGTGGAAAAAAACAAAGCATGCGTACGAACAGCATATAGAATCCCTAAAAAATCCTATGGAGCTTTATGATATCCCAAATGTGTTCTTACGCCATACGAATGACAAACTTTTTATTGCGGATGAAACAACTAAGAAGGTCGCGGGTGATATCCATCTAGATGGTTACAAGTACGTTTCTAAACCTTGGTGTTTTAAAAATGCGGTTGGTGAAACGATGATAGATTTCTTCAACCTCGACCTCGACAACTACCTGATCATAAGGACTGCACGAGTGATAGACCAGTATTATAAACATAACCTTAGTGAACCTTCTCATCGATCTAACCAATTTATCAAAGATTTAATAGAACATTTCGGTTGTTTTACTGATAATAACAATCTACCCTATGTTGCCTCAAATACTGCCTCTACACATTCTCAGGAGCATCGTAAGTGTGTTCAAGATTTGATCCGAGGACTTCAGCCACTTTCCGATGCAGTGAACGATTATCTTAACAACGCATATCCGGCATTATACATCAAAATGAAAAAACTTGATCTCGGTTCCAATGTTCCTAAATCTTTTGGAGCCTTTCCCACAATTAGTATTAACTTTAACAGCATATGTCAATTTCATCGAGATCTGAAAGACCATCGTAATACACTCTGTGTTGTATGCCCTCTCGGAATGTTTGAGGGTGGGCATCTAGCATTTCCAGAACTAAAGTTGGCAGTTATGGCGAAGCAAGGACAGGCAATCGCTTTTCGGTCGCATCTCTTAATTCATGGGAACCTTCCAATAACGGCTGGGTCAAGGCATAGCGTTGTCTTCTATATACACGACACCGTTGTAAAGCAAAAACGAAAATTTGCTTCTCTTTTTGATGATGGGGATTTAGATGCGCTGGAGATTCTAGATAACACTTGT